CCTCATTGTTGTTATCATCCTCACTGAGTTCAGTCTCTGAAGAGCTGGAACTGTTTTTGTAAGTATTTCCATCTGGGTTACAGTCTTCTTCATCAGTTGCTGTTTCCATCTGACCAGCTGAGCTGCAGGTTGGAAGATCTCTGTCCTCCACCTGGTGCTGATGTAGCTGTGAGAACAGAGGCTTCTCTTCATCATCTTCACTTTTAAAAGGAACTGCAGTGACAATAAAGCTGGTGACATCAGTCTCCTCTTTCACAACTTTGTCTCCCTCCAGACTGGTCCAAGGTTCCTCCTCTTCCTCTTTTAATTTGAGGGGTTCTGGATCTGACTGGTCCACACCAGGTATCCATTCTTCTGAAGGTTCTACTTTAATCAGCACCATCTGTTGATCCTTTGCAGGGACCAATGAAACATATGGAAGCGTTTAAGTAACAAAACCCTAATTAAAATGGATTAATAGAAATGCTGTTTCATTTTCAACATATACCTGAATTTGAAACAGCATTTCTATTAATCCATTTTAATTAGGGTTTTGTTACTTAAACGCTTCCATAGAAACACAGGTATATCAAGGAAAACATTATCTTTATATTCACACATACATCATTTATGCTGTTGCATTAGTAAACAGGGTTCACTGCTTCACTGTTGTTGGTGATATCATGGGTTCTTCATTTATCTTGGTGAGATGTAGGAGTTAGCTTAGCTATAGATCATTATTAAATGACAACAATTTTTAATTTTTATAAAGATATTGTAGAAACTTCTTAACTACAGAGCACTATCTGAAAACCATGAACTAAAATCTGTTTATTAGTCTGAATAATTATTCATAATTCGACAAAGAAATGTCCGCAGCAGTTTTCCTCAGCAGTTTTCCTCAGATTAAAACGTAGTAAAAACTACCTTAAAATTTGTTTAATTAGCGTAACATTTGAGCAGGATTTACAGATTTCTGACCTGAATGAAGCAGATAAAAAATGCGTAACGAGGACACAGTGCTCTCAACCCAAGGGGGAATCAGATCGGTGCAACAACCGGTGCCGTCTGTTTATCAGTCCCCGGAACAARAAAAACACTTGCGAAAGTTCCGCCTACCACTACCAGAGATAAACAGGAGATGTGTCCAGCGTGTCTCCATGCATTTTACATCCTGCGTTGTCCTGCATCCTGTGTTGGACTGGGCATCTTTGCAAAGTGTGCATTCAGGGTCCTGTCTGGGACAATAGACAAAAAACAACAAACAGCTGCTGTAAATCATTATTATGAAATGCTTCGTCATCATAATTATGATTTAGGTGATCATACTTTTATTAGGGAGGTGAAAATGGGCTTAATAAAATTATGTCAGCCACAACAAATATGACATCCGTCC